AAATTCAGAAGCTAAGATAGAACTTTCCTGTATAAAAATGTCAGGAAATAAAATGTGCAATATCTTCAATTTTATTTGTTGCTTTAATATTTGTAGCAAAAGAAACAGGAGGCAGCTGAACTTAGATCCAGTTTAACCAATGAAATTCAAATCTGGGTGAGGTTTAAATAGAACATACTTTGCCAGAGGACACATCCTCATTCATCAGAAACTAGCAATTAAATACAAGAATTCAACCAGCCACATGTGTCATAAATGTGCAGAAAACAGTTTTGAAAATAGTTTTCTGATCCTAGTTTGGATGAGAGTTATGGGCATTTTTGAAAGAAACTATTTTGCTAGACATAAGGACAACAACGTTAGTTGCATCAGGTTTCAAAACAAATGTTAAAGTGATACAATTATGCAACATTCGGTAGTAAAAAAGGTGTTTTATCTTCAGTGATTAACTGCTGTGTCACTGGTAATAACTTATAACATTGACTTCCCAAGAAGAGCAGAATGCGTGTCAAAAACAACAGCAACAACAAAATTACATTTGTATAGCGCCTTTCACGTCGGGAGGACGTCCCAAGGCGCTGTACAGACAGAGTTACGGACCTGAGCTGGGGGTCAGGGTGGGGGAGGGTGGAGGACAGGGGGGTAGCAGAGAGATGGAAAGCACGCTCGAAGAGGAGGGTCTTAGGTGGGTCTTGAAGGTGGCGGAGGGGGCGAGACAGAGGGACTGTGGGATGGAGTTCCAGAGGGTGGGTGCAGAGTGGTGGAAGGCCCGCCGGCTAATAGTGGGGCGAGCAAGGCGGGGCACGTGAAGCAGGCTGGAGCCCACTGAGTGGAGGGAGCGAATAGGAGGTCGGAGAGGTAGGGGGGAGCAAGATCATGGAGGGCTTTGAAGATGAGGACCAGGATCTTGAACTGTATCCTCTGTGTGATGGGAAGCCAGTGGAGTTGGGCAAAGATGGGGGTGATAGGGTCGTAGATGCAGGAGAGGACCTGGGCTGCAGAGTTCTGGATGATCTGCAGCCTGAGGAGGGAGGAGTTGGGAGGCCGACAAGCAGTGAGTTTGCGTAGTCGAGCCTCGATGTAATGAAGGCACGTATGTGGGTTTCGACGGCCTGCCGTGTGAGACAGTGTTGGAGCCGGGCGACGTTGCAGAGGGGGGAAAAGCAGAGCAGGTCATGGCACAGATGTGGGTTTGAAGGATAGTTGAGGGTCAAACAAGACCCCAAGGTTCCGGACTGGCCTAGTAAGGTGGAGTGTGCGACCATGGATGGCGATGCTGTCACCTGAGGTGTGGAGGCGCTAACGGGAGCCAATCAGGAGAGCCTCGGTCTTGTTGACGTTCAACCGAAGGAAGTTAGCTCTCATCCAGGACTTGATGTCTGACAGATATTCAGTCAGGACAGCAGTGGTCCTGGAGTCAAGGGTGGAGGCAGTTGGGTGTCATCCCAATACAAGTGGAAATTTACCCCATGTCTGCAGATGATGTCACCAAGAGGGAGCATATAGATATTTAAGAGGAGGGGACCAAGGACAGAGCCCTGAGGAACGCCACATGTGATGGTCCGGGGGCTAGAAGAGAAGCCGTTTGAGGAGATAAAGTGCAGGCGGTGTGAGAGGTACGATCTTAACCAGTCAAGGACAGCGCCCTGGAGGTTGAAGATGAAGAAAGTGGCTGTCAGGACAAGACTACTACCTGCTGGCACAGGGGCAAATCTCAAAACTAATACAATATTTTGTGAAATTAATGTTTCATGTAAATAGGTCCTTTACAAAGCAAATTTGATAAGTGAAACCAGAAAAGTCCAAGGATTAATCCCCAGTTAGCATTCAGTGCACTTATGCTAATCTTACAAAGGCTGCTCTGATTAGTCTCAATGCCCGGGGCTCGGGAAAAGAGAAACAAAAATCAGTCAGGCTTTTCACTGCTGTTCAAATGATTGAGCTCATTTGCGGATATTGCTCCTACAGTCCTCAATAACAACCTGCATTTCTATAATGCCCTTCAGGTATGATAATGTATCGGAGAGCTTTACAGTGATGAGGTCAGACACCAAGCTTGGGAGGGTGGAGAGGTGGAAAGGGATGTGAGCTTAGCCTTGGTCAGGGAGATTGGTTTAAGGCAGGACTTGAACAGATTAAGAGGGGCAGAAAGGAGGTTATGGGCTTAGAAATCTGAAACTATAGCAGCAATGGTGGTGGAATAGGATAGGGGGGATATACATCAAACTCAAGTTAGTCAAGCGGAGGGATCAAGCAGAGGAGCAGAGTGAATCGAGATCGGAGAGATAGGGAGGTGCTAAAGTATCAATGGATTTTTCGGTGAGGTGTGAGGGCTTTGAAATCAATTTGCTGAGAGACAGGTGGCAAATGGGGTGATAGGTTTGCAGAGTTTGGTGCGAGGGAGGATGAGGATAGCAGAGGTATGAATAAATCAGTCAACCAACACTCACTGTTTTGGCTGACATATTAAGAATAACTATTTTGGGTGCAACATGTACTTGTGAGGCCAGACCCCAGAATGAGCCCTTTCAGAAGAGAGAAAAACAATTGAAATTGGAAATAGCAGAATAAAACGAATCCCAGATTTAAATACAGCAATTCAATCCAATTTTTTTATACTGCACATGCAGTCTCTCAACCACTGACTTGTGTTTGTTTTCCTTGATAGACCACCAGAATTCTGTTTTGATAAATTTGCATTCTGCAGCCATGCAATGTACAAAGAATGGAAATAGGCCACAATACACAGAGCAAATGGTCGGCAAACACAAAGGCAGCAATTTCACATGCAAAACCAAGGGGCAACTTGTTCAGTATTCTCCCTGCGCCCTGCTTTGGGACACACCAAACTCTTTGAAGTCCAGTTTCAGATTGGCACTGGGATATTTCAAACTGAAACAAGTCAAAGCTTCTAAAGTAACAGATTTAATTGGTCTGTTCTGGTTTACAAAAGATGAACCATTCATTTTGTGGCTAACATTAAATCACTGCAATGCATGAGTCACACAAAAATTATGCTAGTCAGTCCTTCATGCTGTGCATAGAAATGTAGGGAATTTCTGCACAGAAAACAAGGGGCATATTTCCTTCCCTACGGTCATTCTACATTTGACCCGTGGATTATGTTTAACATCAGCACAGCAACTTCTTCCAGTTAATTGATCATTTCTCATCTTGAACATCATATTATCCTGATAGCGGCCTCTGTTCAATGACTGATATCTCCTTAGTATTACCTTTCATTTCCTTGCTAACACTGCATTGGAGTCCCGTAGCTTACTGGTTAGCCCCCCTCGCCTCACAAACGAGAGGACCCGGGTTTGATTCCCAGGCAGGGCAAAACCTTAGGCTGGGTTTCCTTACTTCACACGCCTCTGTTTACCCAGCAGTAAGTAGGAACCTGGTTGTTAGTCAATTGGCAAATCGCTTTCTGGGGGTAATAAACCCTTAAAAGAAAGATGGTCACTCAATCCACGACTGTTAGTGGGACACTACTGTATGCAATTGTTTGCTGCATTTCAACTACAAAATACAGTCAATTTACTTTACAGTATAATAATAATGCAACAACAACAACAAGATTCCATTTATAGAGCGCTTTTCACGTCGGGAGGATGTCCCAAAGCGCTTCACAGAACACACTGTAATTTGAATTGACTGTATATTTGTGGCCGAACGCAGCAGCCAATTGCGCACAGTAATGTCCCACAAACAGTCATAGATTGAAAATGACCAATTTATTATTGTTTTGTTTTGGAGGGATTATTATTAGGCGTGTGGAGTAAGGAAACTTGCCCAAGGTTTCGCCCTGACCTGCCTGGAATTGAACTCAGGTCTCTCGCTTGCAAAGCGAGTGCTCTAACCACTGAGCTACAGGTATATTCTGTGAAGTGCTTCCAGACATCTCAATGACATGATAAGGCACTATATCAAATGCAAGGATTATTATGAGCACTCTGGGATGCTACCCTGCTCAAGGGGCACTAAGTAAATGTACGTTGTTGTTATTCGGTGCTCGGGTTGAAGTGCATGCCTTCAATTAAAGTGGTAACAGTTCTTCGCACAGTTTGAACTTCAAGTAACAATTTATTGACAATCTACAGGACTGTCCCCTTCCCAGAATTAAGTGACCATCACAAGATAAGGGTTTGCACGTCTCCCACATTATCGCGGCTTTGTGGTGCCCTGATACACAAGTGCTTCTTTTCCTTAACGATAGCACAGAGAGCTGCAGGCAGGCAAGGAAAATAAATACAACACTTAATAATATAATAACAATAATGCTTGCGTTTGATATAGCGCTTTTCACGTCTTCCAGACCGTCCCAAAGCGCTTCACAGGATATGCCGTGAAGCGAATTGACCGTATATTTGTGGGCGAAACGCGGCAGCCAATTGCGCACAGCGGCGTCCCACACACAGTGGCGGATTGAAAATGACCAATTTATTATGGTTTTGGAGGGATTATTGGCAGGTGAACAGGTTCCAGCGAAGTTGCGGGCTTGCAACCATCCACAGAAAACGAACGACCGGGGATTAAACCCTTTGCCCTAACCTGTGAGCACAGGCTCGAACCTCCTTAAAATTCCCAAACGCGCCCCTTAATTAACAACCAATTATTTGCAGCAGTGGCTGTGCCACGTCGTCGAGTCTGTGGCTCGGGCGAAAGTCGAAAGGGCTGCAAATAACACGGCGCTGATTTCCCACTTCAAATCAATGAATGCACTTCAACGCAAATCAATGCACTTCAATGGTAAATCAATGCACTTCAATGGTAAATCAATGCACTTCAATGGTAAATCAATGCACTGCCCCATCATCGTCTGCCTCAACACGTTCGCCTCACACCCCCATCGCTGCCACTGATAACAGTCACAGCCTCCACCGAAGCCATCCATCACCCACTCGGCAAATTCAACGGTGGCAGAGGATACATCGGGAGGAGCAAACAACACAATATTAACGAAATCAGGAAAAAGTGCCCCTGTGCTCTCCACTCACCGTATCCTCACGAGCATTTGCAAGATCATAATCCGACGAGACGCCCATGATTTCTTTTGTGATGCTGAATTGGGTATTTTTTTTTCTCTCTGTGTGTGTAGGTATTTTTTTTTAGGAGGTGGTGGGGTGGGGGGGGAGAAAAATACACACTGTCCTGATTTAAATACGACGGTGACCTTCCAGCCTCTGAAATGCAAAAGCGGTTTGGCTGCAACAAGTGTCCCTGTGATCCACGCAATGTGATTCATTGGCAATAGGGGGCGATTGCAGGGAGTGGGGAATTGCATTTGGAAGGCATGAAATTCCTTGCCTTTAAGGTTTCGCTTCAGAAGTTTTTTTTTGTGTGTGTGTGTGTGTTTGTGCTGAAGTCGTCAGCAAAACAGTAAGAGAACCCGACCTTATCGAAGAGGACTGAAAAGCTCACCGAGTAAAGTGGCTCACAATTGCAGTCTTAAGTGCTCAAACGAGAGCGAAAAGATTTTGTTTTGCTCTCTCTCAACTGCTTTTATTTTGCTGGGATGAGTTATAATAATAATAATAATTCATAATAATCCTTGCATTTGATATAGCGCCTTATCGCGTCGTTGAGACGTCTCAAAGCGCTTCTTAGGAAATACTGTAAAGTGGTTTTGACTGTTTATTTTGTGAGTTACGTTGTTTCCAGCACAGATGAGATTTCCATTAGAAATGTGACTCTGGGTTGCTCTGGGTGAGGCTAAAGAGAGTCCTAAGCATACTTTGCAAATCCAAAAGCCTTTATTAAAACAGTGAAGGACAGGGCAGTGAACTGGCCAAACAATTTAAATGTATTTTTTTCTGAGCGAAAGTTTTTTTGAAATTGCCAGTTTCAAATCTCAATTTATACCACAGCAAATGGTTTCCATCCTCTGACCAAAAATGATCCCCTGAAAATGGGATTGGATTCTGATTAACGCACAAAACTGTAGCACACAATTTTACTGTACCTTTAGTATAATTCACCCCTTCTGATAATGTTTATCCAAGATGCAGCTGTAGCTTGCACCCATGTAATCTTTGCAACGGGAAAGCAGTTTGGTTAGGCTTAAAGGGGTACTCGTCATCTCTGAAAAAAGTAGGGTTTACAAATGCTTTTCGTTGTTTCATACCTCCTACAATTGTATGTAAATAAGGCCACCTATACATTGACATTATGGTGACGAAATAGTACATTTAATCTTCTGCTTCTCCTCCCTTATCAAACAAGAAGTTTGCCGAACACTGTTTCCACAAAGACTGTGATCCTGTTAAAATGATGCTCAGTAAGTTTCCTGATCTATCTGCACAAATCTGGTTCAGGTTTAATGTTCAATTGTTTTCTGATTTGTAACTCTCAGCTATAATTCACATCTCTCAGTTAATGCAAAACTGTGCTCAGGATGCAATTCTGGGGATATTTAACATAAGTTGTTATCTTATATTTATCTGGATTTCTTTTACCAACATTGATTTATTTGGAAATTTTGAAAGTTCTGGGAAGCTAAATATACACAATGCTTTGACCATTTGCTCCTATGCTTTCTCCCAAAGGACGAGACCTTTACACCCTCCTGGAGCTGAGGAAGATGGGAGGTCCAACCAGACATCTTCCTTTTGGACCTTTTCATGTTGAATTCTAGGTCAACTCTTACACTCGTCTGGAAAATGGTATCATTTTTTAATCTGTTTGGTTTCGGCAAGTACATTGTACCCAATTGTGGGGTTAAAATCAGTACAGTATTGCTAAAAGTGGAGTCTGCTAATTGCAAGGGGTAGTTCTTAACCTCTCATCCATGTATTCGCAAGGGCCAATGAGCATATGTACAGGTTCTAAGATAACAGGGGACACAGACACTGCCTGCAGGAATGAATTCTTAATAGGCCATGACAAGAGGTGACAGGACAGAAAATGATAACAGTGCTGCAGTGAAGCACAGTGGCAACATCCCCTGGAGATTCAGCCTGGGTTGTCATGGAATACTACAGGAAAACGGGTCACCCATTGGTTCCCCACATGGTAAATATTACTTTCCCTTCACTATCTCTGCATTGATGCATGTACACTTGTGACCAATTTTGCACCAGTAAATGTTCATTAATCTGAACAAGCAAATTTGAGAGTCAACTATGAGACACAAATTTTTAAATTTCTTAAAAACAGCCGTCATCACCCCCATCCTCAAAAATCCTTCACTACCACCCAATCTCCAACCTGCTCTTTCCTTTCCAAGGTCCTGGACTGAGATGATGCTTCCCAGCTTCTCTCTTTGCTCTCCCGCCACTCCCTCTACGAACCCCTCCAACCTGGTTTCCGTGCTGCCCACAGCACAAAAACAGCCCTGGTCAAAGTAACAAATGACATTTTGTCCATTTGTGACCAGGGCTCCCTCTGTCTCCTTGTTCTCCTTGTCTTCTCTGCTACCTTTGATCCCATTGACCATTCTATCCTGCTACTCTGCCTCTCCTCTCACCTCAACCTTCGCGGTCCTGTCCTTGAGTAGTTCAGATCCTGCCTCCAGCCCTGTCTCCCCTGGCTCCACTGGCTCCCCATCACTCAGGAGATACAGTTCAAGATCCTGGTCCTCAACTTCAAAGACCTCCATGGCCTTACTCCTCCCTACCTGTGTGACCACCTAACCTCCTACCAAATTGTCCGCTCTCTCTGTTCAGCGGGCTCTGGCCTTCTTCATGTGAAGACAGAATGTGACTAATTATATTACTTGTACAAAATATAACTACTGCATTAACACCAACAGTTGTGATGCTGAAAGTTACAACAACAACTTGCATTTATATAGCGCCCCTAATGCAGGGTAGCATCCCAGAGCACTTGACAGTGGTGGAGCATGACACCGAGCAGGAGGAGGGGAGATGACCATAGGCACGGTCGAAGAGGAAGGTCTTCAGGCACAGCCTGAAGATGGGGAAGGAAGGAACAAGATAGAGGGATAGAGGAGGAGTGTTCCAGAGTTTCGAAGTGTAGTGGCTGAAAGCATGGCAACCGATGGTGGAACGGAGGGCACGGGGACATGCAGGAGGCTGGAGCCAGTCTAATGGAGGCAGTGGGTATTGGATTGGGGGTAAGCAGGTCGGAGAGGTAGGGAGGTCACAGGGCATTAATGGATTTGAAAACGAGTGTGAGGATCTTGAAATTGATCCGTTTGGGGTTAGGGAGCCAGTGGACCCTGGCTAGAGCTGGTGTGATGGGGGTATGGAGTTTAGTATGGGTGAGTATGTGGGCGGCGGAGTTTTGGATTAGTTGGATCTTTGCATGGTGGAGCTGGGGAGATCGGCGAAGATGGCATTTGAAAGGTAGAGTCGGGAGGTATCGAACACATGGACGAGTGTTTCGGCTGCGTCAGGGCTAAGGTACAGCTGGAGGCGGGCAATGTGACAAAGGTGGAGAAGGCGGTTCTGATAAATCTATTTCTCTTTTTATCTTCTTCACAGACCAGGTTGGAACTTGGCATTCTCTGCCACCAACCATGGTTAAAGCAGTCTACAGATTTGTTGTAAAATGGAATTAGATAGATGCTTGATAAAAAAGACGAATTAAGGGTATGGGGAGCCAGCAGGAGAATAGAAATAGACTGTATAGCGCACTCTGTGGAGAAAAAAAGACATGAAGCACCAGATAGTCTGTTTCCTTATTCCATGATGAAAACTTCTGAAATCCTCCGGCCTCAGCTCCAAATTCTTTACATTTTGGCTCCCTCATACAGTAATGCTTTTGACAGTTGAGTGATGGAATCAACTTCACATTAATTGCATTATCAGGAGGACGGATCTTGGACAATGCTGCGCTCCCCCACTACCTCACTGGGGTGTTAGTATGGACAAAGAGATCAAGTCTTGACTTGGGTTTGACCCACAAACTTCTGAGCTAAAGTTGAGAATGTTGACCAACTGAATCAAACTGAAACCATATGGATGTTGGTACTGAGAACAGCAATCAAGTAACAGATAGAAGTGGATTTCACAAGATTTATAGAATAAGGAAGCACAGAAACAGACTCTTCGGCGCTTCATGTCTGTTTTCTGCATTTCACCCACTTTTGACATTCTTTGTTGTAATTGCCACTTAAACTTCCGTAACTTTGTGTATTAAAAAGGAACCTAAGAAGCCAACACATTGTATAACACATCAGTAAGAAAGGATGCAGGATTTCCCGCTCTACAATTCTGCACAGGATGAGTTCCTGATCTGTTCGTGTTTGAAGGGAAGGGAAGGAGTTAAGCACCAAGTGGTAGGAAGTTAAACAATCAAAGGGCAAATCAACCAATGGCGCAGTTGGTGTGTGGCCATTTCCAAAGGATTACTGCACTGGAAGAGGCTTAAAGTGGATCAAGGCTGTTACAAAGAGAAAGTAGCAATATTTTTTGTCATGTATGTGGGTATCTACTTTAGTTTCAATATTTGGTTACTGGCATCTGAGGTCCAATGGGATTCTCATTAACTTTTGGAGTCCTGTAGCTCAGTGGTTAGAGCACTAGCTTTGCAAACAAGAGACCTGAGTTCAATTCCAGGCAGGGCAAAACCTTGGGCAAGTTTCCTTAGGCTGAGGGTGGCTTTTGCAGGAAATAGAAATCTCACTACATACAGTGGGGGCTGCTCTTGAGGTTGGGGCTGGGAGACACATTGTTGGGTCACAGCAGATCGAGTGTTCCTCCACTTGGAACATGCATAGTGCTCATCTCAGCAACCCAAGTGCAGCTGACATTGGATGCGTGATGCAGAAAAAATCCCCCATTTGCCAGCATTCGGAGTCCTGTAGCTCAGTGGTTAGAGCACTCGCTTTCAATTCCAGGCAGGGCGAAACCTTGGGCAAGTTTCCTTACTCCACACGCCTAATAATAATCCCTCCAAAACCAAAAAAAAATTGGTCATTTTCAATCTACCACTGCTTGTGGGACATTGCTGTGCGCAATTGGCTGCCGCGTTTGCCCACAAATATACAGTCAATTCACTTTACAGTGTATTCTGTGAAGCGCTTTGGGATGTCTAGAAGATGTGAAAAGCGCTATATCAAATGCAAGGATTATTATTATTATTATTATTAACTTTCAGTACCACAGTGCAGAAATGTATGACTGTTACCAAACCTGAGAGAATTGCTGTGGTTCATGTCAGGGAAAATGACTTGTAAATAGATTATGTGAAAACAAATAAGGAAATCTACTGATCTACTGGGAAATCAGAATGATTGTGCTCCTGAGAGAAGAGAGAA